CACACACACACACATACACATACACACATACACACACAAAAACACACAAACGCACACGCACGGAGAGAGAAAGAGAGAGGGCGAGGGGGCAGACAGGCCGGAACCCGAGTTTGCCAGTGCAAATATACATGTAAAACATACAGGGTGATCCCAAAAAAACTTTACAACTTATTTTGTAAATATCTTCCTCCATACTGAAGTTGTGCGTTTCAGTTTTGAACATAACATTTGGAAGCCAAAAGGAATTTGTCTGATACGTATTTTAGATAAGTCCATTGAATGGTTTTGCTCTATGTAGCGCATTAAAGAACAACCCATTTTCAACCTCGTCGCCATTTTCATAGCATGATGCACCAGTTTGCATTAGGCCTACCACTAAAAGTTGCAACAATCTCGCCATATTGCAAGCTACAACAGTCTAACAAGTCTACAGAAGTCTGCACATATTATTTTTCCCAAATGATGTTTGCCTGCTGAGATCATGGCTATGTTTAGTAAAGAGCAGAGAGCTTTTTCTATTGAACATTACCTCTCCACAAACTCACCATCCCTGACATTTCGTAAGTTCTCTGCACGGCATGGAGAGAATGCTAAGGTGCCCTCAAGACCTTTGACGTCATGAATAGAGAAGTTCCGTCAGTCTGGATCTATAGCGATTCAGAACTAAAAAACTATTTAAAAGATGACCACTTCAGGTCGAACATGCACCATGTGCAGCCCTTTAAACGTCACCAGAGTGCAGATTTCAGAAGCCGAGTCCCATGAGACGTCTGTCCGTAGACGATCTGCAGCAAGGACTTTCCTACACATCAACAGTCTGCATTCTCATGGCATATGTTAGCCTACGACTATACCATGTTCATCTTCGCTAGGCTGAGAAGACATGGATCAGAGCATAGCAATGTGTTCATGATTCCTCGATTGTCTTGTAAAGAGGGGTCATTTCCTCGATTACATTTGGTTAGTGCAAAGCCCATTTTAACTTTTAAAAAGCTGTTTATTGGGCACCCCCACTCTATTGTCTCTAGAAGCCATTTCTTAGTGAACATGTACAGTGTATGTGGCTTTAAAAACTCATGGTTTAGCAGGTCCTTGTGTTAGGACGCCACTGAACATTTCGAACTACGCGTTAAAAATGTGTCGAGTCCAAAGGAGGGAATGTGGAGCACTGCTTCTAGGAATTTCCGAATGAAATCATTAGGTTTTTTAAACTCTGTAATAGAAATTAAATATTGTTTAAATGTCACAGGGATGGAAAATTAATGTCAAAGAGAAAATAAAGAAAAAGGTCAACTAATCTTTTCATGACTTCCTTTACAAGATTTTTAAACATTGGTGAACTCTGCGTTTTTGTTTGCTTTTTTCTTTTGGCCGTTTCCGTTTTCAAAACATATTTATTCGTCGTGGATTTTATATCAAACAAATTCCTTTGAAATGAATTATGTCTGTTCCAAATTACAGCATTCTAGGACAATTTTTGCGCAAGATATTCAGAAAAAAGTTGTATAGTTTGTTTTGGATCACCCTGTACATAATAGTTGTTGTCATTGTTCGTCCGTCATAGTCGCTGACGTCCAACTATGTCATCAGACAAATAGGGACGTGGGAAGCTCCGCCATAGCTCAGACACAGGTGGTCTGTTGTATTACATTGGTGGAACGCCGCGAGCTCTGGATTTACCCAGCCCACGTCTTCTCCAAGCTTTTGAAAGCATGTTGCTCTCAAATGATGAGGCCCCTTTGCTGGTGTTTTGCTTCGCCGAGTGGGACAGTCTTGCGCGTGAGTTTACACCTGAAACTGGGTCGATAGGCCTATCGAAGGTCTTCATTATTAATTTTAAGGGCGTCCTTGGAGCGCTTTTTCTAACCTCTCTGAGTGCGCGTGCCCAGTTAACACAAGTTGCGTTCTTTCAGTGGCACACTATACAAAGTTTTTATGTTCCCATAATAGTCAATGGTGTGGAAGTAATGTATTATTAAAGTGGACAGTATAACACACTCTACCAAAAAAATATATACTTGTACATATTTTGCTGCATGGATGATACTGGTATATTTAACAACAAAGACTATATGTATTCACTAAAAAGAAAAATATAGTCTACTTGTGTTGACTCGGAGCCAAAGAGGAAAAGACTGATTCTTAAACTGTACTTTCACGACTATCTGCTTTTAAAGTCTTGAGCTAACAGTCAAAACAACGTGCTACGAAACTGCAAATGGTAGAGCTGAGATTGTCGTTTCCATACACCAGATTCAGATCTCGTGCTAACTCCAATTTCTGACTTTTGGGAGTTTTAGTCAGAGCTGTTTAGGTTGTTGAAAATGGGTCCCTTTGAGCCCTAATTATTAGTTGCAGTTAATGCCCGTGTTCCGTAGAATTTCGATTTTATTTCGTACTGATTCTCACTTTTGCGACTAAAAAATGAAGTACTTTCAAAGTCATTTACGTCATTTTAAGCTCGCTGATTCACTGCACAACCGGCTCTGAGAACAGAGATATGTCTCGTACATCAGCCAAGACAAGCATCGCCATAAGATCATCCGACTCACTAGGCGACCCAAAGCCTGGGATTAGCGTCTCCTCCATTCTGACACAATGAAAACCCGCCCCAGTCCACCAAACTCTTGACTGTCTCAGTAGCACACAAAGTACAGTTAGATCAGAGCGAAAATAGGCTTAATGTACAAACCCCGAGAAATATGGCTATCACACTCCTCTGGTTGCGTAACCGTATTTCCGAAGCGAAGTTTACCGGCTTAGAGCCTGGCGTCTTGAGTTCAACCTTGTGAACGAGGGCTCGTGGGATACGTTATACCTTATTAATATAGGGGAGCACCTGAAGGAGAGTAGAAAACAAACAATAAAAGTGGCATCTGCTTCTTTAAATGCAAAGTGTGGAGCAGACATTGACGTCCATGGTACTCCATTCTTTTCTGTTGTCAATCCTCCTAATAATCTCATTTGGGGGGGGGGGGGGAGAGACACAGAGAGAGACAGAGAGAGAGAGAGAGAGAGAGAGAGAGAGTGGGGGGGAGAGGGAGTGGGTTGGAAGGGTTTTTTATTGTGTTGTTTGTCATAAAGTTTCTCAGACCATCATTATGTGTATGTTGTTCTCTGCCTTCCTCTGCTCTTCGTACTTTCTGTCTTTCCACACAGTAACAGTTTCTCATGTCAATTTGATCTTTTTATAAGGCCAAAGAATCTTATTTGTCTCTTCTTCTGGTTCTGATTTGAGACCTCCTACATCCTGCCAGTGCCAGTTGGAGCATTTGTGTTTTATTTCCTCTCTGCTAATAAAATTGTGAGCATGCTCCTAACATATTAGTATATACTGGCGGCTTCCAGTCTTCTTAAAGCAGAAAAAGAGCTTAATCATTAAGTATGTTTCATGAGAAGAAGCACGACTATCCGTTAATCCTAGCAGAAATAATCCTGAAGAAATAATGATTAGGAATTTGGAATTAGAAAGGGGCAAGTTAAACGGAACCTGGAGGATGTTTCCCAGCGATAAAATTACTCTGACCAAAACTAACTAAAAACTTTTGACAAAGCAATATGCCAATTCTGGGCAAGGACCTAATCAACAACATAATATGGCACACATAAAGAGAATATGTTAACATGTTAACGTATATCATTATTATGCATATTCCATATAACTATTATTTCGACGTATCTTCATCCATCCTTCAGCAGCTCCGTTTCTTTTGCTTTTAGGTGATTTGTAAAGCTAACTTCATCCAGTTTAAGCCATTTACACTTTGAACGTAAAATTGACACTTGGTCAGTCCATCTCCCAGCGAGAATAATCAATTGTTTCCAGTTCCTGTCGGTGGACCCACAAAACTCTCCAACTTTAGCCAAAACTTGTCGGAATTCTTCGACTTCGCCCATCAGATCAGGATGTTTAGATACGAGAGCTTTAAATATGGGCAAGAAATGGTCGTAGAGCGCTCTGTCAGCCATAGAATGTCGCTTGTGTTGCTCCATTTGCTGTGGGGAAACAGAAAGTCGAGGGTGACCTTGGTTGTGCTTCTTAAAGAATAAGATATCTTGTGTTGTCCAGCGGAGCAGGCGCTTCAACAGCACCAATGACTCATCAAAGTAATCCGTAATGAGCACAAGGTCGAAATACTTCTCTACATTTGCAACGAAACTCTTGATATAGTTAGTATCGTTAAACCTGTAATGTCTGTAGTCAAAACCAAGGTCGATTGATTGCCTGTTGTTTGTGTAGGATTCAGTGCCCTTTCCTTCATATTTTTCTGGATTCGACAGAAAAGTACTGATTTTATCAGGTCCTGGGATTTTCGCCAGATAAGGAAAATCCTCCCCGAATTGACTGAAAAACGTGAAGCTAGACGTGAACTGCTGGAGGGGCTCTCGGACGGTCGTCACTTTGAAGGTGTCGTCGTGTAGGTACTTCAATATATCCGGATGGAAGATATGGTGATTGAAGACCATGTCGTATTTGCTGACACCAGGTATAAGAGACAGCATCCACGGTTTGAAGGTTCCGTGCAGGTTGATGTGGTTGCCCCTTGGCAGTAGAGGGAAGAGTTCCCTTGAGCGGCAGTACTCGGCCAGAATAGAGTACATGGTCGTGCTTCCCGTTTTGTGAGTTTTCAGGTAGAACACGTGTTGTCGGGGCCCTCCCCCTCGTGTTGTATCGTCACTCCCGCGACAACTGACGTTGGTCAGACCGGCCAGAGGTGGGGCAGCGGCCAGCTGCGCAGCTGGTCGACCGTTGGCCCCGTAACCGTTGTCGTGGATGCCAGTGCTGACCTGTGTCACTTCGTACTGTCTAAGCATCTGGGCAGAAGCGGGCGACACATCGGTCAAGGCCACGAGACAGTACGTCAAAATCGCAAAAAGACACACAGCTCCGATCCTGTTGAGATAACAGATATTGTCCTTTAATTCTGTATAAATTTTAGAGGCACCAACTATTTATGGGGTGTTCTAGCTTTATAAAAAGAACAAAAAATCGGAAATGAAAAGAATGCCACTTACATCAAATTTTAGCTTGGAATGGTTTTAGGAGGACAAGTACTGTCTAAGGTTGAGAGTTGAGAGCTAAGGAGCCCTCAAGGTCAAATTCACCCAGCAAGGTAGCGTCACAACAAAAAGTAGAAGAAAGTCATTACTCGAGACTGTTTTTTAAGTGTTCCATCTCCAGAACAAGTCTGTAGTTTTCAGGGAATTTGAATCATGTGTAAGTGTTTCTTCCTTGAGAAGTCGAAGCCAAGTTCACCTTTAAATGGAATATTGGGCCCGATATTGCTTTAAAAAATCTCTCTCTCTCTCTCTCTCTCTCTCTCTCTCTCTCTCTCTCTCTCTCTCTCTCTCTCTCTCTCTCTCTGTCTCTCTCTGTCTCTCTATCTACCTCTCTCCCTCTCTCTCACACATGAACACACACATACACACACACACACAATTACACACACTCTCACACACACTTCTCTCTCTTTCTCTCTCTGCCTTTCTCTACCTCTCTCCCTCTCTGTTTTTCCCTTTTTCTCACTCACTCACTCACTCTTTCTCTCTCTCTTTCTCTCTCTCTCTCTCTCTCTCTCTCTCTCTCTCTATCTCTATCTCTCTCTTTCATACTTTTTTTGTCTTGCAACACTCTAGAAGTTCTCGATATATGGCAGTTCTATCGTTGTCTTACAATGATTTACAAGATCCCAGATGTTTGTCATGGACAAGGAGATTTCAAACTAGCATATGTGAAGTGTGCTGACAAAATGAGTTACTTCTCTGATTCAAGCCTTAAGAAAATAGATAAATCACGCTTATAGGTGAAGTTTTTACAGTTTATAAGTATGAAACAGTAAAAGACATGTTATAGTAAAAGAATATGGCATCAATTGAAAATCTACAAGTTTGACCCTAATGTCGATTTTTGGCCAATATCTCCATTTGTGGATTGCGAGAAGTAACTCATTTTGTCAGCATGCGTCACATATGACAGAGCAAACAGAACCACCCATACCGTCGTAAGAAATTGAAAGTGTACTTAAAATTAGCCCGAAAAACAAAGGTGCGCATGGTTGAGGCGAATTTTTAACAGAGCCTTAGAACCAAAAAGATGCCCAGAAGATCGACAGAGAGTCATAGTGGCAGCATTATTAAAAAAGAAAGGCAGCGAACTTGATGTTACTACCTACATCTCTTTACTAGGCCACACAGAGAACGTTTAGGCAAAAATATTGGAACGAAGGAATGGACTTATTGTAAAGCCAAACTTGAGCTCAGCTCAGCTCGAATACTGCAAAGGAAGAGGAATGTAAGCAAGATGTATTCGCCTTTTTTGCCCCCTCCTCTGGGCTCCTGGCTCTTTCTACTGCAACTCTACTGCTTCCCCTTGGCTCCTTCATACTACTAGGTTTCAACCACGTCCATGATCTTAGGGTAAGTAAGATCTAACACTTAGCCTTCTTGGATACGGGCAAAAAGGTCTGGAGGTCCCTTGTACAAGCTGCGCACGTGAAAGATCCCTTGGTGGTCCTAAAATCGATAAGAGTAGGCTTCAGTCGCCACCCTGGCAAAATTCAATAAATGCCCTACCAAAATGAAAATGCTTAATATGTCATGTGCGTAAAATGTAGTTTTTAGCGCCGCAAAACACTTATAAAACAAACACGCGCACAATCCACACATAACCTACAAACACACACACACACACACACACACACACACA